AATTCGTATCTGCCCCCAGCCAACACACTATATTTTTTGCACTGAAGAACCACATCAAACACGGGATCCTCACACATGCACACTTCTCCGCCCACCTTGTTCAAATTCTCCTTTAGCTCCACGAAATCTCACCGCGTCCCGTCTCTGTTCGTAAGCTTACGCTTCACAAATCCAGTACACCCGTGGGAGGCTACGCTATCAATGCTGTCGTATTTTTCGTCGCGCTTTGAACATGGGTTTTACACTGGTTATAATATTGATAATAATAATGTTTATTCCCAACTTGTGGGTGGCATACCGTCTGGCATGATCATGCGTTTACGGTCAGAATGGGGCATGACTGGGCAATTTGCGGGTAGTGGGGATTCTGCAAAAAAGGGACAATATCATGAACAATGGAGAGTATCCGATGAAGTAATGATACATGATACCAGGTTTCTTTCGCAACTTGTAGGGAACAATTGGCATGAGGTCTGACTAACTCAAATACTCAGTCGGTTGACATGAACTAAAACAAAAAACCATTGCTGGCCACGAGTGGCCTTGGGCAGTTGGGTAAATGGCCGGAGTCACAGCGAGCAAAGGTGGAGGTGGAGGTGGAGGCTGGATAATTCGGATTGGGAGAAAATAGCAGGTTTAGTCTCAAAAAAATGATGCAATCCGAAAACAAGCAGACTCACTGGTTGCACTGTCGTAGGGAGGTCAGGTGCAGGGGTTAGGTTGGGTGGGACACAGGGGTATTTGAATTCGAACGAGTGGTCCACCAGGTTGGAATGAGTGTCTTGGTGGTCGTTGGGGTCAGTGAAACGAGTAGGCAAGAGGGCTTAGTTGGGAGGAGGAATGGAACAGTTGCGGGTGTGCTATCAAACTGAGTATGGCAGCGCCTTGCCATCATTGGCCTGACATGCTCCAGTTTTTGGGCAGCTCCGTGACGGACGTCAAATTTGAGATGATTCAGCTGGGGGGTGCAGTTCATTGGGCAGCGGTATTCATTCCAGCCTGGTCGAGGAATCTAGCTGGAACGAAGCCGATATGGGATCGTAGGGTTTTTGTGGTCCGCTTGGTGGTCCCGGAGTTGTAGATTACACGCCAGGTGGAGTGGATATCAGCTAACAAGTTCGTCCAAAACGGGCAATTCCGAAGTTCAAAGCTTGGGAAAATAAGGGGATGGGAGGAGATTCGCAAAACATGGTGAATTTGAGGGGCTATAAAATGGGATAATAAACAATGATATACACAGAAAGAAAAACTTGACGTCTGCTGCAATTAGGGTGATGGCAAGTGATTATATGGAGTAGGAAATAGATAGATTTGAACTTAGCAGGCTAGCGACCAGGGGATGAGTTTGCTAACATACGACATTACATTACAAGGGATTTGGTAAAAGCCGATAAAGCGCGTAGAAACGTGATATGGGAATCAGATGCATAAGGGCTGGCAGGAGTGGACTTCTAAGATAACTGGCTAATCTGGTGTTTATTACATGAGTTGGGTTATACCAATAGAGAAAGTGTGTGCAGAAGAAATGGTCACTACCCACCGAAGCACTGCTATCAGCTCTAATCTGTAGATGGTGCATAGCGAGTGGCTACCACTGGGGGCTGTGAGTAGATGTATTCTCTGTTTGGATGACGAAATCGGCTTTGGTGCGGTGTAGCATCTGTTCTGACGAAGGCAGATACAGCTATGCTCGCAGATGTTGGCCACGGGCACTTGCGGAGTATCTTTGGGCTATCCCGAGTGAACTTCTAATTTTTTTGTTTTTCTTCCTTACAAATGAGAGACCAGTTTTTTCATATGTGGTTTACGGCATTGCCAGGTGCATAACTCAATCGAGGCGAGCCCAACACCAGCAGCAACAAACAGAAGTCAGCAGTACTCTTTTTGATTTCCTAAATTTGAAGGCCAGGCTCAGGACCACCGGCGATGGGCGATGGGCGATGCACCCTTGCTACTGGAGGGGTGGCGGGTATACGAACGCGCCATGGTGCAACGTAACAGGGCGACCCTCCCTGCAGGGCGTACCCGTCCACCACACGAGGTTTTCATCCCTCGTGCATGCTACCAGAACTGCAAGGTGAAAAAGCATCTAAGCAGTCATAAATGCGGTTTGTGCATTAATAAATACTCCAACAACCATTTTTTGTCAGGGGAAAGCCAGGCCAGTAAAAACAGCTCAGTCAATTCGAACAAGCAAACAGCATACAGACGCTAGTAGAGGCAAGTGGCGGAGGCGAAGTGGAATGACAGTTGTCAATGGGACGGTAGGACTGGAATATTGATACCCACGGCGACTGCACCATGGCTAAACTGCGTCGGAGCGTTGATGTGTGCTACCATGTCGAACAGAAGCGTTCCGCGATGTTGTGTGGGGGAGTGTTTCGCGAGGCAAATCATCAAATGGATATATATATATCTATATATATAAGCGCAGAATGCGCTCTGATAATGAAGTGAAGAAAAATCAACTTTGGTTTGGTTTTTATCAGTTAGAGTTGGACGGTGAGCACCAGTTGCTAGACAGAGCTGATAGAGTAATCCGGGGTGGGGACTTGACTAGGACGAGGTGTAAGTTCACTAGGGAAATAGAAAACAACCAGGCCATTTACACTGCATATTTAGAGTTGGCTGGCATTCAAGTCCTTTATTAGCTTAAAGAGAGTCAAGAGGCTAGGAAGAAATGATGACAGAGTCTTTTACTTGCTGACTGTAACGTCGCGAAGAAATGATGACAGAATCTTTTACTTGCTGACTAACTGTAACGTCGCTAAACTCATCTGCGCACTGGACCTGATTCGTAGAGGAGGTCAGAGGGTATTCGAGTATTAAGTAAGGCAGCAGCAGTTTCACAATCGCAACAATATTCCGATCGCCAACGAGAATGCATCTCACCCCATCAATAATAGTGGCCCAATAAACAAGAAGACGTATTCAACCCCTGTAACTCATGCCATACACTGGATTCCTGGGTAGGTGATGTTTCTCAAATAATGAGGGTCGTAGTCCGGAGGACTAGTAGAAGACCGTACAATAAAACTTAAAACTATGGCAAATTCAACCATCGAAAACCGGATCTGTCACTGAAGCCCACACGAAACTCTTACACCACGTGGTTGGCCGACTCACATATGCCTGATTTACCCTCTTAGTGCCAGTGAACTGCGGAGCGCACTGAGACCAGTGTCCAGCGTTAGCGGAAGCTTGGGTCATCGCTGTTGTGCAATTTTTGGGCCCCAATTCAGCTGCCATGTTCTACAGTAGAGTTACTTCGAAAAACCAACTTTCTATGCATTTTACGGCATTTTACGGATGATCCGACGCACCTTCTCCCGTAATACTTCCAAATACTTTATGGGGCCTACGTCAGACCGCTCCTGGAATGCGCCAACCACGTTGTCTACTACGCTCGCTCGAAAGACGTCACCCTCATTGAGCGTGTCCAGAGAGCCCCCACGAGAATTGTTACCGGCCTCAAATTGGTGGACTACCAAGCATGTCTCGCGGTGCTTGATCTCTTTCCCCTGGAATACCGTCGTCTCCGAGGAGACCTAATTCTTACTTACTTAGTCACTTTGAACAGAGCTTGGCAAACAGGTTTTCCACCACTAACCCAGCAAACACAGGACGGGGACAGAAAATTTTGCAGCTCAGAGCGCACACATTCATTAGACAAAAATTTTCTCATTTAGGGTAGTAGGTGCGTGGAATGACCTTCCTCCGACGGTTGTTCACGCTCCTTCTAGAACCCAGTTTAAAGCACTATTAGACATTTATTTATGCGAATTCTCGCTCTGGCAAACATACTGTCCCGCGCTTAGAACATAAAGAGCAGTGCTATACCCTTTTTTCACTTGTGCCTTTCAGGTGAAAGACAGCCACTGACTGACAGGAACAAAAGCGACCCGGAAAACTTGGGCATTAGCCTCGATCCTGTGTATCAATCCGTGAATCCGTGATATGCCTCACAGTTGTAAAAGGATCTATCCCATTTTGTCCTCACTTGTCCGGCTTTGTTTTGGCCTGGATCGTCCAGTCCTTTTATCTCCCATAAACATGGGGTGCAGCACATAAGGATCACCAGAGTGAAGTAAAGGACGATATTTGACCTGACCCGAATAAACTAAGTCATGATCCGGTATGAGCTGAGCTAGCACGTGAACTGAACCACCAGGTTCATGCGTTTTTTCGAAAGTGCTGATGATTTATCGTGCAGTAAATAAAAGTCAAGGTTTTTCGGAATTCATGATCATTATCTCTCGTCCGTGGAACCATGGCAGTCTAAATAACGGCCGTGATTACCATGATAGCAGACGATTGGCGATCACTCACTACGGAAGTGTGGCCTATGTAGAATGCAAGGTGGCAAAATTATTTCAAACCGCATGGAAACAGTAGAAAGAATGCTTAAGAGTAAGTCTCATTGCACCAAAACCTACGCAAAGTCTTGGCTGGCGTGTGAGACAGGATTGACCAAGATAACCTTGCCACGTCGTCCTCCATTGGCAAAAGTGGCGATTGGTGATATTTCCGAGGGCTTCAGACATATAGATCAATATACTGAAAGCCAGTGTTCATTTTACGACTATCCAGAATCATCTAATGAGGACGTTCCAAAAAGTGATACCATATATCATCAAACTTCCATTAGTCCCATGAGGCTAAGTCAAGCAACCATAACTATTAATGATTGTGCAAAATGTATTGCCGTCGTGACAACAGAAAGCAAGCAAGACCACTCAATTAAAATTGTGTCGAAGGTTATTTACACACAACTGCCTCTTACAAGAGGTATTCTTCGGACCCCGATTGAAAATTACTCACCAGTCGCGATTTATAAATGGAAAAACAATTGCATGAGTCGGGATGATGGAGGGGAAGATTGTCCAAGGCATCATAACGTGTGCGTTATCATCCTCGCACAGGCAGAAGAACGATGCAGTGATGATGGAGACTGGCAACCGAGTGCTTTTTTATCACCGATTGTTGTAGTAGAAGTCGGAATGACTTTCCTGTCACCAATCACCTTCTCGGAACCAGAAATTCAGATTCTCCACATCATTGTTTCACTACGTAAGGAAAAGAACCTGAAAATGATAGCCGCTGGTTTAATAACGTACAACAGCAACAACTATTCTTTTGAAGAGCATCGTAATTTAACCCTTGGACCAATCAACCTCAAGGCAAATCAGGCCATTATGACCGAATTCGCGAGCAAATTGTCAGAACCGAAAACCTGTCACCTAATGGCAAGCAAACTGCCGTCTCCTTACACAAGAAGTGGGAGAATATTCGCATTCATATCGTCCAGTAAAATAAAAAGAATGAAGTTTCAAGTGGCATTTGTCCCAGTGAGGTGTTATTTGAATCTGTGGTCACAAACAGTCGAAAAAATGAAGGAACGCTTGTCTGGCTCACTTAAAATAACACCAATAATCTCCTTATCCAAAAGCGTTGCATCTTGCTCCAAGCTTCCTGCTAGCATAACGAACATGCGCTGTTTGATTTATACGCCAACTAATCTGAGAAGAATTCCTGGGTCCCAATTCCTGGCAGATTATTTCAAACCACCAGAGAGGGAACACGCAATGATTGGGCGTTATTCATTGAAGTCAAATTATTTAGTGACTGAGCGGGCCCAAAAGCTAGAAATCGCGCTTTCATGCAAAATAACCAGGAAAACCGCGGGAACTGTGCCGTCACAAATTCACAGTTGGACTGAAATCCTCAAGAAAAATTGCAAGACACAAGGAAGTTCGACCCCGTATACAGACAAGTTTGCTGTCGCACATTATTCCTGTTCGACTACAAATGGCTTTGTCATGCCTTACGCGGTACAGAAATGGATCCCAAATACTTCTTCTAGGCCTAAAACAAGTCATCTAATTCAAGGATCATATTGTACGGTGGAACTAGACACGTACAAAATGGACCGGATAAGCGCAATGGTAACTAAATAAGGTCTTTAAAAAACTTTTAGGATCCACCGTCCCCGGAAAGACACACACTTAGCACAGCTGATAGAGAAGATACATTGGTTCAGTAAGGAGAGTTTTATTATGAAAAAACTCTTAGTGATGCTTATGTGACGTTATCAAATGACAGACTCTTTGGCAATAATCTGCTGACCAATCAAAGGGAACCGTTCAAGGTAAGTCAAAACGTCATCATCTTTTAGCTTGTCAGATGCCACATGACACAGTAGTTGCATTATAATTATGTGACCGGGAAAAGCCGTACGTCAGTGATCCTAAGCACTGTGTTCGAGCGAAAAGGGTTAACCGCCTTAAACCTTTGCATTCTACTTGTGAGGTATGCCAGCTGTCTGTATGGCCTCTGGTGTATTTATCAGAAGGCATATTAATGCAGCCATTTTACTGCACAAGTGAAATAGCTCACACAGTGATGGTCCTTCAGAAGTACCTCCTGAACGATCTTAGTGGTTTAGATTGAGAGTTTGGACCCTTCACCAAATTTGCTGCCAATTAAAAAAACACAATATCACTGCTGATTAAAAGAAAAAAATCCAATGCACAGCATTAATGCCTGCTACATCAAGAGCTATTAATATTAATAGACAAAGATCATATCGATGCTGATGTTACCAGTGACGTTATCAGTGTCACCAGAATGTTTCACGCCAAAGTTACAATCTAATAAGTACCTTTTTAGGTTGAACTTAAACGTTGAAGGTTAATAACAGTGAAAGATTATTATTATCGTTTTATATTTAATTCATTAAGAACAGATTAATAGACAGTCTTTTAGGCCACATGATGATTGTGGCATCTAAGAAAGCTTCCTTAGAAAAGTTAACCAATAAAACACACTCATGCCATCGTGACGAGCGTTATGCAAATCCTATCATTTATGGCTCAGTTCAGAGTCTAGCAGACTTCACCAGTTCATGCTTGCCTTACCTGAGTCTTCTACTGAGCCAAAGAGGCATTTGATGGTGCTAGCTGTCAAGGCGTTTTACACACAGTCACTCAGAATGCGCCTCATCTTCATTTGTGTGTGTACTTTCTGTGACATTCTAGAGACCACTTACACTTCGCCGACAGTTCAAAGTCTACTCACTGTAGTTTGATGAGGTAGCATATAGCAGTCAATGACTAGATCACGCAACAAGTTGGTTCTACAAGCGCAAAATTATATAGTAAATCTGTCTCGCTTGCAACCTTGACCAACAACATGTTATATTCTGTATTGCACGCACTCAACAATTCTATGGATTACACACGTTAAAAATTCCCACAAATGGGAAGACGCAAACCAGTCGTTGCGTACAAAATGCAAGCGGCGATTGGAGCTACTTGGAACATGTGCAGCACGTAGAGCACGAACAAATCACAAGACGCAAACCAGTCGTTGCGTACAAAATCCAAGCGGCGATCGGAGCTACTTGAAACATGTTCAGCACGTATATCGCGGACAAATCAGGTAGAAGTTGCAGCAAAGAAAAGCTGCAGAGAAAAACACCATACACGAGTCCGAAAAAATCAAGCTTGTGCTTCAAACCATAAGTTATTTTCAAACCGTCATTCTGACATTGTATTCTTTTTAGTAAATTGTGACGAACTTTTGTAGTCACCATTCTAAAATCCTTCATTTCATGAGTGCTTGTCACGCTCTAATAATTAAATTTATTTTGCTGCCACTGTAGCACTAACGGACGGATGAGAAGAACAAAGTGCGATCCTTGTCTATAACTCTGCGTGAATAATTTTGCTTTTGTTATGTAACAGAAAATCAATAAAATATTGAGTAATTTTTCTAAACTAGAGCTGCGCAGTGCATTTCATGACGCTAGATTGATTTCATCTGGTCATGGGATCATGGAAATTCATTTGAATCCAGGATAAACCTCAAGATTGTCGTACTACGTCAGACGCTCTCCGTGGACTACACCGCAGTGCTCTGACTGGGTCGATAAATACCTCAACTGAACGAGATTGGAATATTTCCACTTGCTTGATTCCAGAGGGTTTCTCCATATTAAAGGATAATATATCGGTCCAGATGCACCACCTTTCAAATCAGCATCTAAGAGCGAAGTCAGTGCAACTATTGAATTTGATGATTTTTGGTTAGAAAACATCATGACGCAAATAATATCACTAAACTCTACGGGAGTAATTGCTCAAATAGAACCTATGATCCTCATGTAGATATGACGATGCCTGATTGCATTTGCGGGCTTAAGCCAAAACACTGGAGAATATTCCTCAACGTTGTTCTTTTTCAGTGTGTGTGGTAAAAAGACTGCAGCAGAAAACAGCTTATTATGAAATACTATCTCTTTCTCCTTAGATATGATAATTCTTCTTCGTAGAAGATATTTTTATTGACGTGGGAATCCAGACTATTTGTTGTTGAGTCTAGCTCACTGTTATTCGGCTGGTAAATCAACGGTATAAATTTTATTATTTTCCTACAAACCTTCGTTGTATACTAAGTCGTACATGGAGGATCTATTGTCAGATCAAAAAGTGTGCATTCATTCCGGTATTCTCTTTATTTGCTTTGTAACTATCTTATTTGCATCATTATATAAAAGGCGCGGGATTACAACGAGCCACATGTGAAGCCACTTGCCAACAGATATTAATACTACTAAATGTGGTACCGCTTAATCAATTGATTGTTGCAGGTTATTTCCCAACCTCGTTATCCTTCCAGAAGATATTAAGCACTCTTTTCCCATATTTCGTGTATTTATGAGAACAGACGGATTAACCAAACCAAGTGCACTTTGGAAATTCAAGAATATTAAAACTGTGGGCCACCTATAATTATGGCGTTGTTTTAGCGCCTGGCAGGTTGTAGTGTTTTGATCGGCACGGCCTCCGCTAGGTCACAGTCCATCTTGCCGATTTCAAACCAATGCTTTAGGTGGTGAACGACAAATGACTCTTAGAATCTCTTTACAACTGGAGTTGAGTTGATCCCTTTGTAACTTCCGCATTCATCTCTAGTAACGTTTCCGAAAACGGATTATATTACTGATTCTCATTGGCTGTTTGGAAAAAGCTCTTTTGTTCGAACGGAAGCAAATAAGTCAAACAAGCGCTAGCTGAGGATTGCGCTCTTATCCTTGAGAGATGATATTGAAGATTATCCGGACCAGAAACTCGTTGGCGTTTGGAAGAATATTTGAATGATAAAATTCTGAGGCTTCAAGTTTTTTGTGTTTTCAACTTTGAGGTTTCTAGTGCACTTCCGGTATCTGGTCAGTCAGTTACAAGTGGCCACGAGGATTGTTGCTTGAAGCGCTCGGCCAATCGGTCATGGCATCTTTATTCAACAAATATTATCCCTTTATTTTATGACCGAATCCTTTTGTTCACCGGGTTCCTACAACGACCAGCTGCACTGATCAAGCAAAGTAATCTCCTGGAACGTTTAACTTTTTGGGTCCCATCTGCTTCCTTGGTTTCACACGTTCACCAGCCTTGCTTTCGACGTGCAAACTGGGTCCTATTAGAAAGCTGATAATCTGTTTGTTTGACTTATGCTATGGATGGACAGAAACCGTCCTTTTAGATCCAAAAACGTCATGGTTCAACACGATATTTAATGTTTTAGGGGACCTGGTAGCGGTATACCACGGACCAAATTTCACAAATTTTGCAAGTATATGTCGGCATCGCCCAAGTAAGAACTGACATCCCGTAAAGGAGCGGTGGGGTCAGAGTTCCGGAGACGGTTCTGACAGATTTTTCAGACTGGTCATGGAAAGCGAAAAAAGTTTCAACTTCTGACAAATTTATGATCAAAATTTACCTGTGATCCGGATATAGTTGTGTTCAATTTTTTAACCGCAACAATGGTAAATAATTGGGAGAGTATCAACCAAAGTTCGTTGCTGTAGCGACGATAAAAGGCGCAATGTGGTCAAAGGACTTTGATTAGTTCTAAAGTGAGTACTGCATAAATTTGGCCAGCAGTCGGCACATAGGTGTCCCTCGTCGTTGTCCATATCTACTAAATCCAGTCCAATTCAGCCACTCAGCTGAACCCCAGAAATCTAAAGACTACTTCACTGTACGTTAAAGTCTATAAGCGTTTAGCGAGCGGTAACGTGCATTCCATATGTCATAAAATTTTCCGTATTTGTCAGAACCACACTCCTCCGGAGCGTACGCAGACACGACAAGACGATGGTGGACAAACGACCGACAAGCAACAACTTGCTTGTGAGTGGCTTTCAACGACGATCCTAGAAGAACAGCAGAGAGGCAAGCAATGAACCCTTTGCCCAGAAACTTAGTGCCAAACTAACCTCCGTACATCTCAACACAGTAGCGTCGAAATCGCCAAAGGCCGCAGCCGGAAGCTAGTAAAAACGCTGTATTAGTTAGTTCAGTGGCTGTACTTGTATCTCGATTCCCTAGTCCCGAAACGCAGTACATACAAATTCCAGGCGGATCCATTATGGAGTAAAGAGTAACCTGTTTTTCGCTTAATTTGGGTGCAGAAATTAACTGCAGCCAGACAAACCCGGTGATGTGACTTAAAGATTGGTTTTGGGATATCCAAGTTTATCGATACCGGCTGACTGGCAGATGTGGCGGACAAAACCAATTCACAATTAACGGGAACGTCAGTCCTAAGATGTTGACTTACAGGAAGATTTGCATTAATAGGTTGGACGGCGAAAGGGAAAAGTATGCAAAAAACGGTGGACTTAAGATGTGAACTGCTTTAATTTACCAACCCTGAGTATAATAAGCAAAGTGATTCATCTGGTGACATTAAAGGATGCGGATTTAACTAGACAATATTTACACCTTTAGAAATCATGGTTGTTCGCCGAATCGATACTGTCGGGGTGCTAGAACCTATAGAGAAGAAACATTATGGCTTAAAGCCCAAGCTCAATCACAAGGCAGCGGTGTGTGGTGTGAGCTGCTAGTGCGTCACTTTCGTTGAAGAACAATCCACAGGCAACCTGGAAATAAGGCAACCAGGAGACCTTTAACCATTCACCAACTCAACATGATGAGCTGTGAGTGGCGATGAACGTCACATAGCATGGGTCAATGGATTACGTAGGTAAGAAAATGTTTTGCTTCTTCTTGATAATCAAACTTCTAAAAGTGTAGCTCAAACTTGTTTTTGACGCGGAAAGTAACCAAACAAACGACAACACTAAAGGCGCATAGACAGGTGGATTAAACACGAAAGAAGTAGATCGGTTGCCATATAACTTTCCTAGCCCTCGTTTCAAATTAGTCGTCAAGCAAACTGCTTCAGTGCATTCAAACTATCCTATAGGGCAAGCGGATGGCACAGTTAGGGTCTTCAAGAGTATATTTTAAGCAATTAAATGACAATGCTACTAGTCTACTGAAACCAATGCCATGCAGGCAAAACGAATAACCAAGACTGCTCCTGCTTATTTGTGTATAACAATAAGAAGTTAAACATGGGGAAAATTTAACACTTTTTATTCTGTAGCTCCGTGTACCCGCCATACAAATGAATCACAGACGAAATCAGAACTGAAACACATAAGCAGAAGAAGGGATTTGAAAAAAATTTGGTCAAAAAGAGTGGGTATTTTATTTTCTCAGGATTTTATTTCCAACCACCCATTGAACATTTCGAATTTGGGAATTTAAGCTGCTACTTCACTAAAAGAAGAAGTAAACAGTAGTAAATATCGTGGTAAACTTGAAAAAATATGACACGGTTGAGTCCATACTCAGAACAAGGTGCAGTTTAGAGAATTATGTCCTCATTAGGTTCGCTTCATCTTTTTTTCGCAATAGGTGCACTGACAGTTATTTGTTGAAAGTCACGATTTCACAAAATTACCACCTAAATACTTTGGTGAGATGGATGTCTTGTACCGTTCCCCTAGATGACTTGAAAATTCCTTTCAGCTGTTGTGTGTATCAGCCAACGCGCTGATATTTTTGAGCTTTGCGAAGATATTGCACCAAAAGCGCCGTAGTCTTGCCCCGTCTTAAGTTAAGCGGCCTTCCATCATAAACATACGTGGCCGTATTGTTGAGAATTTCGAATAATATGAGCCAGTTACATACGTCATGGTGTTTTTTATTAGGACTAACATCAAGTCATAAAGTGTTTATGAAAAAGCATAAAAGAAGCAAGAAGCAATGCATAACTATGTTCGGGCCACTAACTTCTAGTTTACTGAAAAAACAGAATACTTGATTTATTCATCGTGGCTAAAAGATATCAGTTGTAATCGGCAACCAATTACGTTGTCGACGGCACAGTCATTTATTTAAGAAAGCCCATAAAAGATGAAATAATTCCACTTCCTTTTAATCTACTACTGATTCAGACAAGAAGCACTTTTGTGCGCCGACTCGCGTTCGTCATAGGTTTCCGCACCGAACACTGGTTAATTATTATGCAGAAGCCATTTTTTGCCAACACGAAAAACGTTTTGATTGGATAAATCATCCAAAGACTTACTGTACAAGGTAAAATGCTTAGGTTGACCAAAGTCCCCCATATTGAGTAGCGCTGAGGCCTGTGTTGGGACTTGAATCAGCGTAAAGAGCTTTGTTTGGTATAATCAGCCGCCCACGAAATTTGAGCAAAATTTTCATTAGTTACTCCAGTGAAATCAGAATGTCAAATCAGGAAAACGAAACTTCAATGTTGCGGTAGCCTCAAATTCACAATCTGATTCACTCCATGTTTGATTATCTTATGGGATATCATCAAATCCGATCTGTCGGATAGTCATGCAAAAAACTACTTGTTGGCGCCTTCTGCTTAAAGTTGTTTGCACCAAATGTTCGGTAATGCCTTGAGTAGAAACCGCACGGATTCACGGATTGTAAAATCCTTGGCAGGATCGCAACCAGCGCTTACAGAGCGCTATGAAGCGCTGTCTTCATTCAATAAGGCAGTCATACAATGGTAGAGTCAAGAAATTTTCATGGTGCAACAAACGGCATACAAAAAGTGACGGTCTTTAAAGTCGCACAAAATTTCGGTGTGTTAAAGTGGGCACACACTTATCCATGCTCATCAGCATCATCCTCATTGTCAGCAAAGTTAATATCAGAACTTTTGATTCAAATACTGTACAACGAGTTTGATTCGGTTGAGAAAAGGCAGTAAAATAAAGCAACGGATGAAATATAAAAAATGGAGGTAAACAAAAAGGCACAATATAACTTACACAAACTGAGTAATACAACAGCGATTATGGGCAAAAAGAGTGGGTATTTTATTTTCTCAGGCTTAACGAAAGCTTGCTTCCGTCTTTGGCAAGGTCCAGAAAGGTATCATTTCTCCCTTTCCCCATCCGGGGCCTCAAATCACTTTTTTCAACAGGTATCGATGAGAGAATGAGGGTGAGCTTGTTGCATTATCGATAGGCCACTCTCGAAGGAATGAGGGGAGATTCATGATAAAGAGCCGACAAAAGTTGACTGGCAGCAAATCGCGTCTGTGTTCTGGTCTACAGTGTGGCAAGAAGTTTAATCCCAGGGTATGTGACACGTCAATTGAGAGGCTGTTATCAATAACCCAAGTGTGCTCAGTTTAGACAATTTTAGGGAATTATGATAACTCACTGTATAAATTTCTGCGTCTACATCATTAGGTTTAAAAGTAAGTATCCTGACTATCTTAGTCCTGCAGCACAAGTCCTTAGAATGTTACTTATACCAATTCGAAAAAGGGTTTTTTTCTAACTCATTCCAGTTTGTAACGAGAACTGCTCAAAATGACTAGCTCTATCCGTTTGCGTAATTGAGTTATTTCAATCAACCAAAGGACAACAATCGTAAAAGTCTTCCGGGGAACAGGAATAGCTATACATGCGGCCTATTCCATCATTAAATAAAAAATCATGTCAGCACGTAGATTTTTTGTCTACCTATGTTTGTTTCCCGTTAAAATTTACAAGGGGTACACTTAACTGTCTCCACAGAAATTAAACTTTCCAGTCAGAGGCCGTTGCTTGAAATTAGGTGAAAATAAAAACGCGTTACCAGTACAGCACCCTGCACATCTGATCCACCAGTCCACTCATTTCTATTCTTGAAAAGTCCTCAAGCTCTGTCAGTTGCTTCCACAATAATTCGGGTTCTGCTTGACTTCGTTTGCCTTTGAAGTGGCAAAGCAATAGCCCCTAAAGACTCGTCAATTTCGATCCCTTCTTATTAAGCTTCAATATTAAGTATCCTGAACTATCCTTCTACTTATACCAATTTTGGCAAAATTCACACCAACTGTTTGGTTTCACGGTAAGTTCTGCGTCATTTTTTGTCTGTTTTTCATCTCGAAAACAACCGTAGTCAAAACAGACCGATACTTGTTATATAGCCTCAGTGTTTTTTTTTACGATGTGGATCTGTTGTCATTCTTTGATTGGCTGACTTTTACTTTTACCATTGGCCTATAAATTTTAGTCTCTGGCTTTGCCAATCACATACGAACAACGCAACGAAATCCGTTCAGCTCCAACAAGTACCATACCTCAAGATCAGATCTATCTTCGGCCTAGCCCTCCTACGTTGCAAGGGAATAAGTTGTGTCGAAGTAGACCGCGGGTCAAAAGTCAACAACATGGCAAACAGAGGTGCGTAAACCCAGAAAAGAAAAGTTCCACAGGTGTGATGTTCATTTTGCTCCAGGAATAAGATTAAAGTAACTGAACCAAACCATGTTATATTTTTCGATTTACCCCAGTTAACAGTTTATTGAATAACATCAAGTGTTTCGCACAATGTGACATATCTTTGGAGCAAATAGCCTTTTTGAGCTATGAGAACAATGTGAACTGTTCCAATCAGCAGGCAAATAGCAAATAAACTATTCGAGGGAGACAACATACTGATGTAAAGCTATTTTCAGTGGTAATAAAACGCAGGTACGAAGGGAGGGACCACTCAACCAACAGCGCACTGAAGATGTCTCCTCGAATGTTGACGAAACGTTTGCAAATAAATAACCATGCTCGGCGAACACATCAACAGCCACCTGATCAATTACCAACTGATCATAACTCTTGGAAAGCAACCCACTTTTATCTTCTCCTAATTTGTCCGAAGTGAGCGAAGAAACCCAGTTGCGATAAACAGTATGCCCCATAAGTACCCAGTAAACTTCTGTGTGCTCAGAATTTGCGGAAACTCTCTCATCTCCCTTTGTTGCCTAACCACAAAGCACTGTTGATCTTTCGGTAAACAAGCTAATATGGCACTATCCGGTTGGTTTTCAAGGGATCCTGAAGCGGCACGTATGAATTTGGTTGGGCAAATAAGGTGATTTTCTTAAGTGATGAATTTATTTTACGGTCAGGTTGAATCAGCAACCGAAAAAACTTGTAGACTTTGCGAACAAAACCAGTGGTCATTTCGGTCAGGCTTGTTACGAAAGATGCGATGATAAAGCCAACTTTCAATTTTCAGAAAAACTAAATATTCTTGTATCGGTTACCTGCTATGAAAGATCCAGAAGAAGTGATCACGTTCATTTTGCTCGAAAAGACACGTCTTATTTGACTGAATTTCAGCGTTGTTGCCCACTTCAGTGAAACCGTTCAGTCGCAAGACTGGCATTTCACAGATCAAGGAAGATTAAAAGAATACCCAAACCACCATTTACATGAAGTTCCATGCAACTCCAGTGACATCCTATTGAACACCGAAGATGAGGTGAGCGAATCGCGCTGTGAACGCCGTTCCAAACACTGGGTACCTGCAGAGCGAGAGAAGGAGGGAAATTCTATTGAACAGGTACAACGCTTTGGTGACAGCAGTGATATGTGCTCGAAGGCTGTCAGGTAAAACATTGCGAACCACTAAAATCTACAAGTTTCTCTCTTGTTGTGTTCGTTTGATTTTGCCGGTTTCCCGAACTCATTGTTGAAGTCAACCAGAATGGCCTGTCATAAGAACTTCTAACAAGCTCATTTGCTAGTGCATACTGAGCTGCTACCCACCATTTGTGGCATGCATGGGCCAATAAGTCAACCGAATGTATTCATCCGGAATGACGAATTCTCAAGGATATTCAGTTGGATTTACAATCTCTCCAATAGGATATATAGGGTCAGCTTCTTTGTCAATAAGCACATAACATTTTCACTTGGTTGCTACACTGTGGAAATCGAGCATGCAACTTTTGCTGTGCTGTGGGAGTCTGCACTCACAATATGGAAGAAGTTTCTGTGTCTGGTGCGTTTTAATTCCGCAATTTTACAGGACGACCATGCATCACAATGACCGCCATTTAGCCTGCTAAAATTTCTTGAAGAACTTACGACTGCTCATTTAGGAATGTCCTCAGTGATAATAACAGACTCCTCTCGCCGGTCCATCGTCTTGATAGTTGATGTGTGCGTCGTAGATTAATAAAATGAGGTAGACTGTTAGGCTAACGTCTGTCAAGTTATATAAACCATTTGGATCCCTAACTGGTCTAGTTGTTAGAGGAGACTCAGTGCCGTGTGATTTTCGGTAAGATATTGTTTTAAGTCAGGGTATGGCATAAGCTGATGTAATATTGCCGCATCTGACGTTTTCTTACTGTAACTATCGTTTCTCAATGTGTAACACAATCCAATTATGAAGAGTGCCAGACATTCTGGCAAGATTATTTGTGCTCATAAGGTTCTATGACATTATTCCTAGGGTCACCAAAAATAACATGGCGGATATCAGAGCCATGAAACATGGAATGAAAGAGTAAGGATGCTCTTATATATTGCTGTTGACTGCCTAGAACTGTCCGGCAAATCCATTGAGCAACATTGAACATAGAGGTTTATTTTCCTGCTTTTGAAGCTCCAAGCGACCTTGGGAGCTTACTGGCACAAGGAACTTAGCTCGTATTTGACATCTACATTCTTTGTTCTGTGTGCCAGATCCAATGTTGTAATTAACAGAGAAAAATGTAAAAACGAAAGTTACGACCCACTCTTCCTCTTGCAATACTACTTAAAGGTTTAAATGAACTCCCTACACCCTTTCTGTGAAGTTCAAGATAACTGTTTCAGATGGTCTGCAAAGGGAAGGAAACGCACGATGCAGTAGTGTGTCTTGATTCAGATATTGTTGGCCGTTGGTCATTCGTGTGCGCCGAAGGTGTGTTCGCGTTTGCTTTTAGGAAGCTGGTCCTGGGAGCTTACTGGCGTTAAGGTGTTTCCCAAATTATGTATCTACGCGGTCATATTTCATCGAGCATGTGTTTGTCAAGCTTTTAGCTGACCAGGTAAAGGAAAGTCATTCCCGCGTTTCTTTACAAGAAACAAACCCCAGGATTCTGAAAAAAATGCGATGTTGCACCTGCTTAGGACAATAAACTAGAACATTATTGGACAAGGTGAATAGGTGCCACGGAAACAGGAAGCGGACTATATTCTCACCTTCGCATTTCCCGAAGAAAAACGTAATTAAAGTAAAGTAAGCATTTCCAGGGATTATGATGTTGGCATGTCTTGTCGAATGGATAAGACTGCTGTCACACCAAGAACACCAGGACAGAGTACCGATTAACTGCACGGTTTCTTATATAGGATCAGCTGCTATGAATACTGAGCGAGATATATCAAACAAATATCTAGACAATTCTAGATCAGGTTAGATGAACACAAGCGACGCATCCGGTCACCACCAAGAAGCCTAAAAGCGTTTTTGGAACTAGAACATTATTCAGCGGTGGCCGGACATGCCCTAATAAGGATCAATGTCGACACTGAAGCAATTCACTACTGCCTTAGGTCTGAGAACTTTCAGCAATCAATACAGCCTAAGAATGTGTCAACCACAAATACGGGAAAAGATGTCATTCAGCTGCGTCAGTTTGGCCTCATGTCAGTGTAGTTATGGTTGTAAGAAAAGTTACATCAGTCGATAAGTGGTCACAATAGTGGCATCGTTCACCTTTGACTAACTGGGAACAAACAAAAACGAGTGATTGCAATTGTGCTGTGTGGCAGAGGCAAACCGCGCTGTTGCTAGCAAGAAAAGCGCTTCTCATTGCTTCCTATAGCCTGGCTTTCTTGCTAACTGACCTGGCGTTGAATGAGTTGTCACTTCTTCTACATTCCAGTCGGAATGTTCAGCTCTATCCCGCAGTTTGTAAAAAAACGTTCTACAGCAGCACCAAACAGGTTTGCAAGAAACGAATCCGCATAGGTTGTTGATACTATGCTTCCTATTCAGTCGATTGCAAAAGCCTACAATAAAACAGCGTGATAAATAAATCAAATGTGGTCCACATATTTATCATTGTGATTCACAGTTCATACAACGAGGGCCCATACGAAACAGAAAAACAGGCAATATGCCGGGAAACCAAGTGGTCCACAGCGGAGTCAAGAGCCAGAAAAAAATTGACCCATGATTCCAAAGGTCGGGACTCGCACTTCAAAAAGGCTAACAGGATGTCAAGCACATCCAGAAGCTCTTCACGCTCAGATTCAAGGTATGTTATTCTAGACGTTCTTCCCTATCTATCTTTTACGTTACTTTTGTCTTTTCCTCTGAATTTAGTGTGATGCGACACCTTCAGTATCACGTTCTCTATAACGTGTATAACGTTTCGTGTTTTTGAGCAATAAAATTCATATCACCTCCGATTTTATCAAATTTTCAAAGAATACCCAAATGCCATAGAACAATCAGGCACACGTCTTTTTTCTGGCCAATAACAATCCGCAAACTTTTATCTTTCACTAGAACAACTATTATGTCAGGTGCATCGACGTGGATGGGATATGATGCAACACATTGCAAATTTGGTGCTGAGAAATAGTTTAACTTGGGTCCCTTTGAGAGCCAAGTTCTGGCTGATTTGGTTTCTCTACGGTAGAGTTGGGTCTCACTGAATCCCCTCGGTGGGTATTCCTGTAGTTCTGACCAGACAGTCCACTCTGAAGGATCTTCTCAACCATTTCTGACACAGATTCTCGTCAACCCTAGGTTTGTGAGCTTGAACGATCAGGATCAACTGACTTCCTTATTTGACAAGTTGATAGTGTTTTGACGTCAGACGCAAAACGGAAAACTAAAAAAAAATGCAACTCCAAGGAGCGTTGAAATGCTAACTATTTCAGTGCGACTTTGTCTTAGTGGAAAAGATACAAAGCTGATTTGCTCCACCTAACTCCATCAAATTATGAGGCACGTTAGTTGTGTATTATCATCCAGTGTACACTTTTCTCAAGGTAACTATTTGTAATGGATTGACGGACCACATCGTTGTTTTTTCGTCTACCGCTTTCCGGTGCACTTTTTTGACTCCCTTCTAGGTAGTTTTACTATACTTAGGCCAAAGGAAAAAACCCTGTCTTTGATAATGGAAATGTTAAATGACGCATGAAAAACGGATAAAATGAGCCTGGGACCGGCAGATAATAGCGCAGTGAAAATCAATGCAAAAGATTATGCAATTGAGGGAGTACGGTGATATTCTATTTTGGAATATAAATCATAAAAGAATATGTATGATTGGGAAAGTATACTTTGGGTATGTCACAATCAGTTGTCTTTTGGATGGCAAAATTAGCTGTTCAGATGAAAGCAGCCATGACTTAAAACTTTCGGTGAGACCGGAAATTCAGAAATTCGGCAACACAGCCACGTTAAAAAGCACGATATTATTCACTGAAAGTCTTTGGTAATATTTAACCGTCTGTTTCCCGGATCTGTCGCCTGAGATAACGGTGCTCCAACGCTGTTATCGATCCGCGCATGTAGAAGGGTTTTAACGTAAAAAGTACTAAATTAATTTTTGCGGACTATTCCACCGTACTATACGGTTCTGTGCGTACAATAGTGAGTGACGAGTGCCTAGCTATGGTCGGATATGGCTGTCTCGATGGCTACTTCAAAATTTTTTTTCATCTTGGATATGAACTTATTGAGATATCAAACGTCCTTTTAAGCGCTTTTTTCGTTTCAGAAGAGCTTGATAGAAAATCGGTGGTTTTTATTTGGGCAACGTTTCACTTTTGACCAAAATGGCCAGGTTATAAGACAGACGGGGAACCAATCAGTGAGTCCTCTGCAGATTGTCACATTGGATCAGTGCTGGGTGTCAATTAACGGTTCTTGTCCGTTAGTGTGGCTGTCATAATCTTGCTTTGGTGGATTGGAAGAGTTTCAAGTTAATTCTGACCGGGTTTGGTTCGTTAATCTTCCGCTTCAGGGTGATTCAATTGATGATTCCCCTCGGATACCACTGGTAGACTTTCCTTGGTCTTTTTGGGATTGTGAGTGTTGCGGCAACTTAGATGCGTAGAGGATAGGTGGGTAAGGTTAAGTGAAATCCAAATGATGACTACTCCTCCTGATAATCGCACACCAACTCGTTTTCTTTCTTGTTCCGAAGCGCTCCAAGTTTCAGAAAACCGCGCAAGAAAGAAAAGGGAGAGCGAAGACATTCCTATACAAGAAGGTCCGTTAAAAGTCTTTTACGTCAATATGAACGTTTGACAAAGCAGGTAATGTCCGTCGTTCCCGATAGCTAGGTTTTCTCACAACATCAATTTGTTTCATTTAGACCAGTGGTTATGCGATGGCGTGTACACTGTGCCTGCTTTGGTACATACTGTACTGCAAGACAGTTTTGTTGGGTAATAAAAAGTTGTTCACTCTTTGTGTTCCACATTAGTTGAGACCAAACGAACAAACATTCAGCAGACCAATCAGGTATCAACTTGTGCTCTAGTTGGACAGTCGTTTCAAAGTGATACTCTCAAAATAGGCCTAAGAATCTTTTGGAATTTTGTATGGAACCTTTGGGTAAAACAGGAATATCAGTTCTCTGTATTACCCATCTAGTGTTATTCTACCTAATCGTGTAGTACTCAGAAACAAATATGTCATTCTATGCCTATGAATCACCAATTAGCTTACACCGAAGATTTTCCATGATGATTTTGAGGTAACATAACTGCCATTGTCTCATATTGTTTGTTTAACAGAGCGGTGGGATTACCACAGATAATGGAATTTTTTTATGGGTATCTTGTTCGCTGTCATCAGTAGCTCACAAGGTCTCCAGTTCTGTTCAGCAGCGGTACTCATTGTGTCGAAACTCAGTACTTCTGAGAAAAAAATTGTGACCAGTGTTATTGAAAAACAGGCGCTCACCATTATTATTGCATTCTCATTCAGCATCACCACCACCCCACCAAAGCATGCTTTTGATGAAAATTAGACGTTCCAACGTTGTACTGAAATCTCCTGCTATTAAGACGATACCTGAGTTCTTCGTGGTGAACAATGGTGTAGCTAGTTCTCGATAAACGTTTTCGATAAATCAGATTTGGCACTTGAAAGTAGGCGCTATTTTCACCAGTACCGGTTGTGATCAGAATGAAAAGTCAGGCAAAACGGAGTAGGTTATTTGAGCCATTCATTCGGGCACCACAATCTCAGTTTGCTAGCCTAGAGCTATGCCGACACGGAAACAACCAGCACAAAAACAACTTACTGGTTTATCTACTGTAAGAGCTATTCCGGTAAAAGCCGCATTAAAAACAGAAGAACAGGACCTGGACAGCGGACGCCGATTGGTAAGTGTGAGCCGTGACGCGCTATACGCCAGTTCTATAAGTGCCTAACTGACGCATCTACATCTGAGATTTACATAATGGGACTGGATGGGATTTAAGAGATAACAGTGAAGAAAGATGTTTCCATAGTTCACTTATCATTCCTGGTGTATATTGCGAAAAGAGTGAGCATGCTAATCCCATTACGAGAGAACCGATGTA